AATTTTTTTTAATATATTAAAAAAAGAAAACTTAAGTGCAAGTTGCCATACTAGCACCATAGTATATAAATGTTAAGAGGCAGTCCCTGATTTCATGTATTTTATCATCTGATAAGGAAGCCAGAGACCTGACATAGATAACCATAATGCAGTAATGTAAGTGTCATGAGCAGTACATAGTACCCTGGTATATATGTACTGCCCTTATAACCATAGTAAGGAGTCCTGAATCATGGCACTGAGGAAAAGTCATGAGATATCTATAGGGCTCTAAATTGTCATAGTTGTAAAGTTCAAAAATTAATCTTGCCTCAGGAAAATCTTTAATAATGGGAATTCATTTTGGTGATTTCAATACTTATATACATATGGATCTGGTATAATATGTCACATCTTCTGCTTTAGTGATCCCTGTAGCCAACTATCAGATTCCATATTTATTTTTGAGCATGTGAGTTATTTTTTATGTGGCTTTGTTTTTAACTTTTGTTAATTAACTTATTTTGATTTTTTTTTAACTTTCTTTTTTTGTTTTTAACTTCTTTCGATGCAGTTAACTTTTGGTTAAATAAAAAATTTTAACCTGTAGTGGCTGGGCCCTGGAGGATTCTAGCTTTCCAGTTCGTGATCCACATCATCTCAGAGAAGTTGCCTAACTTCTCTGATGTTTTCTCCATCTATTTAGAGAGTTAAGTTCTATCAGTGAGGGTTACTGTTAAGAATTAAATAACGAAGGGAAGCAAGAAGTAAGCCTTTGAATCAACAGTGCTGTATGTTACCTTTGAAAGTTAAGAGAGTCAATCCTAAGAGTTCTCATCACCAGGAAAAATTTTTTTTCTATTTCTTTAATTTTGTATCTGTATGAGAATGGTGGGTGTTCAATAAACCTATTCTGGTAGAGTCAAAAAATAAAAAAGAAGAAAAAGAAGAAGTAAGCGTTTGATTTTCAACCTAAATCCCTGTTAGCTGTGCCTGTTGAAATTTGCAGTTCTTTTCACCTTTCTGACTAAGCTGTTCTTTTTCTCCGAATTATTCCCTTAGCATCCTTCCCTACCTTTCCTTACATTATTAATAAACTTTTTTTTGGCATCAATCTCACAGAAAATGAACAGGGTGAAAAGTTCCACGCCATAGCTCTGCTCTCTCAGCCAATCATTGCTTCAGCTGTCTCCCCTTCCTTCACTTGTCTGTCAGCAGGGATTCAGGGAGGTTCATGGATGTAGAGGGCTCTGAGAGGGAGCTGAATGCTTCATTCCACTGTGCAGTTATGCAAGCCTGCCTTCCAGTTCCCAGACGGAAACCCAATCCTACCTGGGATAAGAAGAACGTATTCTGTTCATCCTGTGTTAATGAATTTGTTAAATTAGTCTCTGCTGACACAGACAAGACAGGACTCTGTTATATATGAGATTTCATTGTTTATACATAACTTCAGTGGCATTGATGGGGAAGATGAGCTTTCAGTTCAGCCGAGGAGTATCTGCACAGAGCCTGTTTATATAAGAAAGGAGGGCTGGCAGGAGCACAGGTCACTGTCAACTCCCTTTTTTACTTTTTTTTTTTTTTGCGGTACGCGGGCCTCTCACTGTTGTGGCCTCTCCCGTCGCGGAGCACAGGCTCCGGACGCGCAGGCTCAGCGGCCATGGCTCACGGGCCCAGCTGCTCCGCGGCATGTGGGATCTTCCTGGACCGGGGCACGAACCCGTGTCCCTTGCATCGGCAGGCAGACTCTCAACCACCGCGCCACCAGGGAAGCCCTCAACTCACTTTTTAAAGGTGCAGAGGGAGTTTCTTTACTGTCATTAAGATTGTTCACTATTCAAATTTGACAAAGAAACTTAAGTAAATGCCTTAAAATACCCTTTCAGTGGGTTATTTATTTATTTATAGTGGACTCTATCCCAGAAAGCTTTCAAAAAGACTTTCTAAGAATATATGAAATATAAGAAAACCTTCTAAATTACAAAAGGGGGCAAAAGAAGAATGAAAATCATGGATGGGACTATTAGAAATGAAGACTGGAGAAAAATTTGTCATTGTGTCTGGACAGTAATGACATATATACTTGCCTGTGGTTAGATTGAATTTGGCTGTAAGCCTTCTAGCAGCTGACAAAACAAAGAAAATTAATTTTGCAAATTACTGTTCAGTGAGATAAAAAAATAAAATCTCTTGCCCAGAAAAAGCAAAACCGTTCTTGTTACAAAAACCTGAAAGGAACTTCTCCAAGGAAACCATGTAAAAATGGCCATGTGTGATCTAACGAGCAGCACTCTCAACAGAAACTTCCAGAAAGAGCAGGGGTGGGTTTCGTGGAGCTGTTTCCTTTCACAAGTGTCAGTGCAGACTGATGGTGTCACATTTAGCACCCATCATTAAAGGAATTATCCTGTGGGACGGGGCAGGCCCAGTCTGCTCCGATTCACAGAACAGGGTTCTCTGAGTTGATCTCAACACATATTTTAGAAAGCCTAGAAAATGCAATCAGCTGTTCTTAAATGTCTTTTTTTTTCTCAGATGAAGTTCGTTAAATATTTGGTAGCACTGATGGGCATGTTTCAGGAGGAAAACTCTTTCTTCCAAGTGCATACTAACACTTCTGCTTTAACAGAAAGTGGAAATTGAGATTGAATTGACTTCTTTTGCAAACTGAAGAGTCAATAAGGATACTGGCCTCAGGGGCCGTCCACCCTTCTGGATGAGCTGAAGATGTACCCTGATAAATTCACCCTGGTAAATAGTTTAGAACCTGCTTTAATGTCCAGGCAAATCATAGCATAAAACCCTAAAGTTCTACCATACTCTAAATTTACACAGTAAATTTAGCCTGGCAGATTTTTCAGGCGTACATAACGAGATACTTACCTGGTGGAAAAGCTAAGTGCTCTCCTAAAACTTTGTCTGGCTTTGAGCATTGTGACTCTTTGGCTTATCTTTGAAAGTAAACTACTTGCCAGGTATATACTGAGAAAATGAAATGAACTCTTGAGTAGGACTGTAGTTTATAAACCAGTTGTAACAAGTTGAGGGACAGCCTACCAAAATATTTGGTTACAGAATAAGTGATCTGTAGCCCTTTTTTTTTTCCTGGCAGGAATTAGTTAACAAAGGCATTCCTTGTTAGTGGTAACAAGAATGGTACCCTAAAGTTTAAAAATAATAATAATAATAAACTACTTTTCTCAAATGTTAAGAGAGTTGCATGCACTAGCTTATACAAAATGGCATAATATTAGTAATAAGAAACAAGTTAACAAAAAGTAGGTAAAAAATACCCTCTTATTCCCACAGAACACATTGTAATCATTCATCAAGGGCCTTTCTACTTACCTGACTCTTGCAGAGTCAGGTAAAGTGCTGGTTCTGAGAAAATGCCAGTGTATTTGCAAAGAATTTCCCAATGGAAGATAGTTACTGAATATCAAGGTTTCTGTTATTGTCAAAGGCTAAAAAATGTTTCGACTTTGTGATGCTCGTTATTGTGACTTTTCCCACTAATAATCTGTCTAAAAGTCAGATACCCTATGCTTACTAAGAATTAGATACCCTGTGGTTACTCAGTGATGATAATTGATGGTAGTGTGATCAGAGACAGAATATCATTTGACTAGAGCAGTGTTATAGAAATCAGGAAATTCAGCTTCTGGCCTTCATTCAATCAGTGATTTTATGATATATGTCATACCTTGTGGACATTCTGTATCTCAGCTTCTCCATCTGTTAAACTGGGTTCATAATAACTGCCCTGGTCTGTCTCACAGGAATGTTGCATGGACAAATTAGATAAGTGTAAAAGTGCCTTGGAGATAAAGCCGCTCTATGAATAAAAATTAGTGTGATGTAGCTACTGCAAAGTATGTTGCAGAGGCTAGAAAGGTTAATCTCCGCAGGCTTCATGACTAGATAACTCTTCATAATGGATTCCTGTCAAGCAAACCAAACCCATCTTATCAGTTCATGGCTGTATAGTATTTAATGGAAAAAAATCACTTTACAAACATTTCTTACCTTGATGCAAATGCACATTAAAAATCAGTCATGTTTGAATTAAATAAAACCTTTCTAAGTAGCTTCAAACCATCTCTAATACCCAGTTTATAATTTCTGTAGTCATTTTGGAGGGGGAGGATTTGGTGTGTTTAACAAAGTTGAGAAATAAGTATAAGAAACAATGTATGGGGAAGAGAAATTGACAAGAATGTTTTTTCCAGTAATAATTGTTACTGTTTTTAAGATGCTGACATTACCAAATTGAGATTTTTTTCTTTTGTTTATTTTATGGAAATTTCGAACTCTCATTTCTGCCCAGCCCATATATATTTTTCCTGGTTACTTCATTTTCTGTCACAGTTAATATTCTCATTCTCAGTCATAATCATGATGCACTCACTCATTGCAGCTCAAAAACCCTAACTACCAAATCCCTTGAATACAGAAAACCAGGGGGCAGAGATGGCCTTTCTTTTTTTTTTTTTTTTTTTTTTTTTTTTTTTT